CTATAAAAATTTTAATGGTTCCCAGTAGAGGTGGTGGCACACATTAAGTCTTTAAGCCTGAGATGGCATTATCCTGAGAGCTGTGAGTTTGGTAAGACTCTCTTCTCCCTGCATCCAACTTTCATTTGTGAGAAGGGATGAATGATTGGGAGAAGAGTGGAACAACTGAGACAATTATGAAGTCATTTACCATGCAAAGAAAACATGTTATCACTGAAAAAAATGGAAGTTTTGATTTCCTTTGCTCTGTAATAAAACACAGAGCTGTTAATTTCCACTGTCCCCCTTGCATAATATATGCTGGAAGTCTAAGAATATGGAGATGAAACCTGTGAACAGCAAAACAGCCTTTGTAACTTTGTGAACTGCTGAAACAAAAAGCTTCCAGGTGTCCTCTTATAAAAGGCATTAAAAACTTCCCATTTTGAAGATGTCAAACATACCTGCTTTCTCCACTAAATTAGGGTATTACTCAAGAAGCTAACACACTGCCTGCAGCATATCTCAACTATTCCTTGGATGACTGCCTTCTAGCATTCCGTAGGTCTTTTTGGTGGTTTAACTAGGAGGAAATCACATTGGACCTGCACAAGTATCATCCTCCTCATAGGAAAACCCATGATGGGCTACAGCTGTGCAGATGACTAGTCCTCCTCGAATGTAGAGGAACTCCATGGCCTCGTGGGGTACATATAGTCTCACTTAGTCTGTGTGGCAGCACAATAATAATGGAAATATAAAAGGCAAATATCTATGGCCCAAAGCAATGAAAAACAGTCTTAAGTCTCAGATAAGCCATATCTAAATTCATGACTACTATCCCATTTAATAAAACTTTTAACCATGGCAAAAATGAAAATGAACCACATCTATATCTTCATCAGAACCATTAGTGTTGATCACAGGAATGAAGGACTGTCTATTGCTCCCCACTGTTTATGTACGCACCTGAGCAGTTCCTCAGTATTTAAGATGTATTAGATGGTGGAAATAACAATAATCAGTGAGGACATCCTCACTCACTGAGGCCCTGACCTTCTAAAGACACACACACACAGAAAGCTCCCTATTGAGCTTCATGTGTCAGTTTAATTTCTTTCAAAGCCCTTATTTCCATTTTATAAACCAAAAGTGTTGGTATACAATTAGTTTCAGGTGTATAATATAGTGATTGGACATTTATACAGCTTACAAAGTGATCACCACACTAAGTCTATTAATCACCTGTCACCACGCAAACTTATCACATAATTGGCTATATCTCCCTTCACCTTTTTCATCCATCCCCCCATGCCTCCCTTCTAGCAACCATGTTTCTGTGAGTCTGATTTCCTGTGTGTTTTTTTAGTTTCCACACATAAATGAAACTATGTGGTATTTCTTTCTTTCTCTGACTTGTTTCACTTAGCATAATACCTTCTAGGTCCATCCATGTTGTTGTAAATGGTAAGATTTCACTCTTTTTATGGCCAAGTAATGTTCCATTTGTGGAACATCTCTACTCATTCATCTATGATGGATACCTAAGTTGTTTCTGTATCTTGCCTATTGGAAATAATGCTGCAGTGGACATACGGATGGACATATACCTTTTCGAATTTTCTTTAGACAAATACCAAGAAGTGGGATTGCTGGATCACATAGTAGTTCTATTTTAGTGTTTGTGAAGAATCTCCATAGTGTTTTCCATAGTGGCTGTACCAAAAATTGTGTATATTTTCAGTCTGCAGTGCCTGGCAAGATAGGAATGCTGAAAAAAAAAAATAGCACTGAGGGCATAGTTTCTTAGCAAAAGTTCTAATGGAATAGGGACCCTGTCTTTCTCCCTTGGTAGATTTCTGACAAGTTACCTGAATCCAAAGGCCTCGGTTGACATTATAGTTTGCTAAAGAGCAAGTGACTTTATCTATTTTAACTGAGTTACTTTATATGGAAAATAGTATCCCATATAACAGGAAATATTAGGTAAGAACTATTATGATTACCAAAGAAAGAATTTAGTCTACTTCCTCACTGTACCCAAAACACAGAAATATTTTTCTTCCTTGAATGCCAATCCCATCACTTGACACAAGCACAAGTTTTATAAGACCTTCTGAGCACCCTCTGATGCAATCCATTACCATTTATGGTTTGCGGTCATCCTTATCACAATTCTATTACACCCCTCGCTGAGCATAGGTGTGATCCTGGTAGTTTTTGGTAAGGCACCAACAAAATCATGATATGAGTTTTTAATTAAGAATGCTTTGAGATGTTAGTTTAATGACATTTTAAAACTATAGAATAAAAAATAAAATTTGCCTGAGAGAAAAAAATACCACATAACTTTGATTCAAAATGTATAATGATTAATTTGACAAAAATCACAAAACTGTCTACGGCCATGCCACCCCGAACAAGCCTGATCCCGTCTGATCTCAGAAGCTAAGTAGGGTCAGGCCTGGTTAGTACTTTGATAGGAGGATGGGAGACCACCTAGGAAGACCATGTGCTGTAGGTGTTTAAAAAAAAAAACACAACAAAAAAAAGATTGTAAGCTGACAAGATCCTTGAAATCTGTGAGGTCAACCAAGGGTTGCCTTGCCTTAAAAAAAAAAAAAAAAAAAAATCACAAAACTGATCTACAGTGGGAATGTTTTAATATATCCTATCAGGAAGTGGAAAATAAAATATTTGTTAGTACACAAGCTGTTTCAAACAGTAAAACATTTCTAAGAAACACCTACAGAAACATTTGTTTGACATAACAATGAACACTATTTTAAATCACATACAAATGTAATTGAAAACGTACTGAGGAATTATGTTCAGTTGTGAGTAGTCGGAAATATTCACAATCTGCCTGATATAAAGAAGGTGCCAATTCTCACATACGAAGACTGTCAGCGCAGTCACTGCAGTGAAACAGGAACAAACGCCCACATAGTTCTTTCTGACAGCACCACTGTAGCTGTTTTGGTGGAATCAGGAACACACAGTCACTAGTGATAGTAATAGAACCAAGTGTTTACTATACAAACCAGGCTGCATACAAATACACTCTAAAGAAGGGAGTCAGCACTTCAGAGAAGATTTTCAAACATGACAGTCCAAATTTGTTGCCTAGTGGACACATGAGGGCTTGCAGGAGAATCCAAACCGACAGATCTTTGCTGTGGGACTTGTAGAGGCATCTGTGGAAACCTACAGCTCAGAAAATGGAAGTCATGTAGTTGGTGGTGGTACTGAGGATACTCTAGACTGGCAGGGCAAAGAATCATGAAAATAGATTGAAAGCAGGTATATATATGAAACATCTATGTTTCTGTGTACTGTGGTTCAAAAACAGACCTTCACTTCTGCCATCTGAATCTCATGAGACTATTAATGAATTCTAACATGGAACCATAAAAAGAACAGAAAATATTCTAGAAAAAGGTCACAACATTACCCACGTGGACATAACATATTCCAGGAGAGCTATTTCCAATCCTATGTTTTATTGTCCTATCAAAGGTCTCTTTTCTTTTTTTTTGACAAATATAAAGGTCTATTGGTCTACCAAAGATAATGTTCTTACAAAAATGAATCAGCGTTTAAGTGTTAATAACACTTAGGAAAGTAGCTAGAAATGTGATTATATTTACTCTTATAGACTTGAAGCACTGTGAGAGCAGTGACCATTTTAGTTATGTTCACTGTTGTATTTCTAGTGTCCAGCCCAGGCACACAATAGGTGCTCAATATAAATAGAGGGATGCTAATGCTACTGGTTGACTTTAGTGATATCATGTAATTATTCTAATTATATTATGGGTAAAAGATACCTCAAATGGTGATGTAATAGTACTGTAGGAGGATTTTAATGGCTTGATGGGGAAAAATGTTGCTTTGGTGTAAAGATATTGTAGCTGTGAATTTAAATCTAAAATAATTATACTTGTAAGTATTTTAAAATACTTTTATAAGTCTGAGATTGATGTCAGCATAGGTTGCTTTTCTTAATGTGTAAAGTCTGTTATCCAAAACACATTCAGAAAGAATGACAAAGAAAAGGGAAAAGATGTAAATAGTAATTCAAATGAGATACTTTATGATAAACTTTGTATACGTACAAACTTATGCCAACCATCTATTAAGGAAAAATGAATAAAGCTCTTCTGATGAAAGAAAGAGTTTTTCTCATAACAAAAAAGGAATATTTATAATGGGTAAGGAATACCCGGCACCTGCCACACAAAGCCAATAGGAAAATACCAACAAATACCAGTGTCATTATTCCTCTTAAGAAGAATTAAAAGTTTATATAAAAATTAACACTACTAGTATGTTACAATTATATTTCAACTCACCCATGGATCTAACAGACTTCAAAGTAGAAAAACAAAAAATTTATAAGCTGATTTAAGGAAAAGCACTACCTACTAAAAGCTTATGTCCTATAGCTTAGAGTACTTACAGAACTGTCTCAGTATTCACTTACAAAAGCAACAAGCAGAATCCACAATCCAGACACTGAGTTTCAGGATGATCCACTTGAAGGACAGTATATTTTTAACTTTAAAAACATTTTTGTCATGTTGTAAATTAATTTGCATCAGGCTCTCTTTTATTACTTACATTTATAAACATTTTTCTCCAGTAGAGTTTTCAAATGACTTTGAGTATATCTGTTAAGACTGAAAACTTTACTGTGTTTATAATTTATCTATCCAGTGTGCATTCTCATGACATGCTTATGTAAAGATGTGGGCCAATTGAAGGCTTTCCCACAATGCTTACACTGAAGAAGTTTCTCTCCAGTGTGAATTCTTTCATGGCTTCTAAATGAACTGGGCCGACTAAAGGCTTTCCCACATTCTTCACATTTATACGGTTTCTCTCCAGTGTGCACTCTCATGTGACCTCGAAAAGTTGTGCGATAAATGAAAGCTTTCCCACATTCCTTACATTCATAGGGTTTCTCTCCAGTGTGAGTTCTTTCATGCACTTGAACATAACTGGAACAACTGAAGGCTTTACCACATATTTTACATTCATAGGGTTTCTCTCCTGTGTGAGTTCTTTCATGTATTCGAAATGAACTGGGACAATTGAATGCTTTCCCACATTCCTTACACTTATAAGGTCCATCTCCAGTGTGTGTCATCATGTGTCTTCGAAAGCTTGTGAGAGAAACAAATGCTTTCCCACATTCCTCACATTTATAGGGTTTTTCTCCAGTGTGAGTTCTTTCATGTATTTGCAAACCTAGAGCAGAACTGAAGGTTTTACCACATTGTTTACATTCATAGGGTTTCTCTGCTGTGTGAGTCTTTTCATGTCTTCGAAATGAAGTGGGACAACTGAGGGCTTTACCACATTGCTTACATATGTAGGGTTTCTCTCCAGTGTGAGTTCTCACGTGGACTTGAAAAGTGGTGAGCCAATGGAAGGCTTTTCCACATTCCTTACATTGATAGGGTTTCTCTCCAGTGTGCGTTCTTTCATGTGTTCGAAAGGAACTGGAACAACTGAAGGCTCTACCACATTGTTTACATTCATAGGGTTTTTCTCCAGTGTGAGACCTTTCATGTATTCGATATGAACTGGGACAATTGAATGCCTTCCCACATTCCTTACATTTGTAAGGTCCATCTCCAGTATGCGTTATCATGTGTCTTTGAAAGCTTCCAAGAGAAATGAAGGCTTTCCCACATTCCTTACAGTCATATGGTTTCTCTCCAGTATGAGTTCTTTCATGTTTTCGAAGAGAACTGGGACAACTGAAGGCTTTACTACACTTTTTACATTCATAGGGTTTTTCTCCAGTGTGAGTCCTTTCATGACTTCGATAGGAACTGGGACAACTGAGGGCTTTACCACACTGCTTACATTCATAGGGTTTCTCTCCTGTGTGTGTTCTTTCATGTGTTTGAAAGGTCTGATGATATCTAAAGGCTTTTCCACATTGTTTACATTGGTAAGGTTTCTCTCCAGTGTGAGTCCGCTCATGTTTGCGAACAGACTGGCGATATCTAAAGGATTTCCCACATTCCTTACATTTATAGGATTTCTCTACACTATGATTTCTTTCATGTTTTTGAAAAGGTTGGAGATAACTGAAAGCTTTCCCACATATCTTACATTTATAAGGTTTCTTTCCACACTCCTGATACTTATATGGTTTGGGCACAGTATGAGATCTCATGTGTCTATTAAGGGATGAACGACTCATGAAGACTTTTCTACACACATTGCACTCCCATAGTTTTACTTTAGTGGAAGTTTTCTTGTTCAAATTAAGATTTGGAATATGGCTGAAGTTTTCTCCACATTGATTACCTTCTTTACTTTCACAGAGTCTCTTTACCGTATGACTTCTATAAAAAAATCAGGAGTACATAATTAATGATTTTTTACTAATAATTTTATACCTATTAATAAACATTAGAATTATGTACTTATAATTTATAGGAAAGTAGGTTTTCTGCCTTGTCTGAATTGTCTGAAACTGAATATATACTGAATGCCTAAAAGAAGGTTCAAACATAGTTATTATCAAATTAGTGATATTCATATACAGAATTTCTGGATACTGTTTCCAAGTGAACTATTTTGTACACACTGAACATCTATGTAATAATTAAGAAAACATTATCAGTAAAAATTTCCCCAAATTAAATAAATTTGAAGCTGGGCTGTTTTGTGTCTGCTTGTTTTCAAATTTTCATGACCGACAAAGATTCCCTTGTGGGACACTCCTTTCTGCTGTGAGTGTTAACTCACCTTATGTTTCTTCTCTGGTTTTTGTACTGATCTTCAATGTTATGGTCTTCCCATTTTTTCCCTAAAATGCAGATCCAGAATAATCAAAAAAATTACATAAGAATTATTACATTACAGATCTATGATGAGCTCTGACCATGCGTGCTTTCTTTACCAAAGTGTTCCCTTTCCTCGTTCCAAACCAGAGAACACATTGATGGAAAAGAAACACTTAAGAGAAGTGACTAAATGAAGGAATGCTGTCATCCGTACCTACTGACGCGAGGTTCCTCAAGGTTTCTCGCATCACATCTCTGTAGAGTTTCTTTTGCAAAGGTTCCAGCAGAGCCCACTCCTCCAGGGTGAAGTTTACAGCCACATCCTCAAAGGCCACTGAGTCCTAAAACATCCCACACATGTACATAGGAAGACAGGTAAGATGGACAGAACTGGGGATCTAAAGTCAATTCATAAGAAGTTCGCATATAATTCTGTGATCTCAAAATATTTATTCTATAACTTGGTCATTAGAATTCTTACTATTCATTAATCAGTGCCTCATAAATTTAACAGCATCACAAACACATGGAAATTATTTCTATATTTTTACTATGATCACTTTAAGCCTTATTGTTCTCTAATGGTAGAGTCCAGAGCACGTTGGAAAAATGAGAGAACTGCTACAGAAATGAAAGAAATATTTTTAAGACCATTAATTCCTTGTGAGAAAATCTTTCATCTCCTTCCTTGTTACCCATCATATATCACAAAGCACTCCACAATGCATGAGGTTATAATGAACAAAAACTCAATGAAGAACTGCAAACTTCTTATTCTATTCCAATTCCCAAACATGAGAGGCCAGGAGACCTGTGGAAATCCAACTTATAACTAGGACAAACTGGCCATACAGTCCTTAAGTACGCCAAGACATTACAAGTAGCCATACTGCTGGCTGAATGAAAATTTTCTTAATTTTAACTTGTCTGTAAAAGTATTTGTCAGAGATTGTTATTCCTTTTCATCTTTGTCCCATTTCATGGGGCTGGGAAGTTATTCAGAAGTTAGAGCTCAGACATAAGAAATAAGGCATGACGATTTAGACCTTCACAAAATCCCTATACTCACGGGGCTGAGAGCTGCTTCTCACCAATTTTAAACATGTATGTACACATATAGTGAGATGGAAGAGCTCTTTCTGCAAGACTGTAACAGTATATCCTGGGCCCTGCTGACCGTGAGGGACTGGATAGAGTTGCAATTTTCAAGGGAGTTAACTGGAGTCCACCCACAGTATGTCCATCAATCTAAAACAAAGAGCTTAGCAGTGTTTTCCTTTAACAGGACATAAAACTGTTCTCCAATTTCAGGAGGTAGTGATTCTCAACCAACCACTCTAGAGGCTGTCCTCTCACTTTTCTCATTTCCCTGCCCTCATGTGGTGCACAGGAACATGACAGCCCAACTTCTAAGCATAGGAATCCCTCAGCCACATAATTCCCCTAAACACTGGTCTCTGAAAAAGATCATTAACCCACTGATGTCTACATGCAGAGGATAGAGAAAATGCTCCCACGCGGTAATTCTGATGGTAGAATCTACTCATTCAGTTAAGAAACAATAGGAAATCCCCACTACTTGGTGAGTACACAGAGTAATATGAGCTGCTTGGGTCAGCTTTAATCACTCTTTCTATGGTGGATCTGTAGCACTTGCTCATCCGTATTATTGCCTAGTAGGCCTAAGACTGCTGACTTTTAGGGATGGCTCCTCATCTGTCTGTCCTTTGTTGGTATTTGGGAACTAGGATATAAGGGGTCCTACAAATCTAATAGGTTGTAGCTCAGTGTGCCTAAAATGTGTATGCAAGGAACACATCCCAAACTCTTGTTTGTGTTCTGAAAGTCTAAGTTTTTGTTGTGCTTGGCAGAGGGTGCCTGTGTGATCTGCCCCCTGAAATCTCTCTGTGTCGAGTCTCTAATGAGCTTCCAGGGAAGACAATATTTCACACGTGTTGTCACAACGTAGTTCCTTGTGGAATTGAACTCTTCCTGTCTGATTACACTAGGAGAGAACACCTGGAAGATTACATCTGGTTCCCTACAGGTTTAATTAGGTCCTAAACAAGACTAATGAATGATATTTAATGACCCTAATAAAAAAAATTTTGAATTTTCTATTAAATAACATCAAAGGAAAAATAAGTGAAAATATGGTGGACAGCAGCAAGAGAAAAAAGATAATTACTTATAAAGGAACACCCATAAGACTGGCAGCTGATTCTCAAAAGAAACTATGCAAGACAGAAGGACTTAGCAAAAAATATTCGGCAGAATAAAGACCCAGGATATACAACCAAGAATAATTTATCTAGTAAAGCTATCATTTAGAGTTGAGAGACAGATAAAGAGCTTCCCAGACCAAAAAAAAAAAAAAAAAGCTAAAGGAATTTATCCCCACTAAGCCAGTATTACAGAAAATGTTTATGGAGGGACTTCTTTAAGAAGAAAAAGCATGTATCAAAAACAGGAATAAAAAATGGTAACAACTACATTCCTATCAATAAGTACCTTAAATGGAAAAGAATGAAATGCTCCAACCAAAAGATAGAGTGGCTGAAAGGGTAAGAAAACAAGACCCCTACAGATGAAAAGGAAGGGGATGGAAAAAGATATTGCTCTGATGGACCTAAAAGATATTTAAGTCAGACAGAGAAAGATAAACACTATATGATTTCACTTACATGTGGAATGTAGGGAATAAAAACAACTAATCAAAAACAGACTCACAAATAGAGTGGACAATTTGGTGACAGAGGGGAGGGGGATTTGGGGGGCTGGGAGAATGGGGTGAAGGGTTAAAGTTAAGTACAAATTAGCTGATGGATGGTCATGGGGATGGGGAGCACGGCATAGGGAATGCAATTAGCATTAATACATTGGCTAGGTGGAGGGTTAAGGGAGGGAAGGAACAATTGTGGGGATCATTTTACTAACTATATAGATGTCTAACCAATGTATTATGTACTTGAAACTAATTAAAATTTAAAAAATAAAAAAATAAAAGTAATTCTATAAAAGAGAAATATAGTGCACAATCTCACAAAGAATTCAATGTCACCTCTCCCAAAATATATCTTTATAAAATTCCATTATTCCCAAAACTTTTAGGAGTCAACAAAAACTATTTCTCCAAACCTAATAGGAGGAATGAAGATAAAAAAGTCTGGTATTTTGAAGAACAAAGTGGCAGCTTGCCTAATATACATCAAAGATTCTCAAACTATAGCATTCCAGATAACAGAGAGAAAAACAGACCAAGGTAAAGGAAAAGTGCCTTCCACAGGCCAGCATTTAATATGGAAAATTGGTCAAGGGCAGAGCAGGCATTGTAGAGCTGTGGCGGACATCATGAACACTTTAACACACGGGGCAAGGACAGACTTATCTAACTGGGAAATGCATTTTACTCCCCTCCATCGCATGGACAATAGCCAACTCATTACAGATTTAAATGTGAAAGATAAAACCAGGACACTTTTTTTGAGTCACAGGTAAATGCTGCTTCCTTCAGTGATCCAAAAATTGGGAGAATTTTCTTGTGTCAGTAAAAGATTAAGCCCTGATGTAAGAAGAGACTGACCAATTCAAATATATTAACACTAAGGCAGTTAAAGGACAACAAGGTGGAATAAAAATATCTCCAATACATGCAATAATAAAAGAGTTATTGTGTGGAGTAAGACTGAATGGACATAGTTAAAAAATGAGAAATTGTTAAAGTTTACTTAACAGAAGATGAAAGACCACATATGAAATACATCCATCTCCTTGGTAATGCAGAAATAATGAAAAAATGTCAAGCATATTACACTTTACGCTGATTAGGATAAAATTAGTCAATTTAACAATCTCAAGTGTTAATGACCATAGTCAACAAACACATAAATTATGCACAAATGGAGGAAGTGTCAACTAATATACTCTATTGCCATTTCCTGTAAATCTGAATTGATCATGATGTATATGTGTAGCTTAGCAGTTTTCCCCCAATGCCTAGAGAATGGTATATTTGCACTTGGAGATACAGACAAGAATGACAGAGTGGTATTTTTAACATGAGTAAAAATTAAAACTTGAAAGCCTGAACACCCTAACCATGAAATGGATGAGTAACTTGATGGCCCATAGCCTCACTAGCATGTGTAGAATACACTGTTGCAAAGAACCAACCAAAAAACATTTTGAATAAAACTAGATACTTTTTTTTTTTTTTTAGGTGAGGCAACCCTTGGTTGACCTCACAGACTGCAAGGACCTTGTCAGTTTACAATCCCTTATTTTTAAATTTTTTATGCCTACAGCACCTGGTCTTCCTAGGTGGTCTCCCATTCAAGTACTAACCAGGCCCGACCCTGAAAACTAGATACTTTTTGAAGTCACAGGTAAATGCTTCTTTCAGTGAATTTTCTCATATAAGAGAGAGCTCTAAAGTAAGAAGAGGCTGACAATTCAAATATTAATACTCATTTACTGAAAGATCAAAGCAGGTAAAACTAAAAGAATGCTGCTTACTGAAAGGAACAGATGGTAAAGGTATGAAAAATAAAAAAGGTTTTTTGTGGGGCAGGATAGACACGAGTCAGGGACAGGAACATCGAGAGACCCTAACAACTGCCCAAGGCTCACTTATGAATCTTAATGATTAGACAGATGTTTATATTGTTATTACTGTTTTCCAGAAAAAAACATCTTGTACATTCTTTTCTGAATATACGTGATACAAATTTAGAAAATTAAGGACAATAGCATCATTGTGGAGTGAGATGACCCCTTTGTATCTCTCCTTCAATCTACAATTAGGACATTTATAACACAAGAAAAGTTATAAATGTTCAGTGCACGGAGATGCCGGAGATATCCACACATCAGTACATCTGAAGTGGGGTGTACTTGACTGTGTAGGGGAGGCAAATAGGAGGACGGGAGTGGAGTTCATAGCCCTGGTTTCCTGGCTGCTGCGGCTAAGTCTGCAGCCCCAGTGAACTCATTAGCAGCAGAGGAGCTAATGTGGGGGTGTGGCCCCCACACCACGGCCTGGCAGAGGTAAGAGGGACAGCAGTAGCATTGGTGCCAGAGAATCTGGGTCCCTCTCCTGATTGTGGCAGTTCTCACACCGTCAGAAAGCCAGAAAGTGGCAGTGGTGACACGTCTCCAGCCTCTCAGCCACAGTGCAGTGCCTGTGGCCACAAGGAACCAGGCAGCAGTGCAGTGGGCTTGTGAACCCTGTTTCCCCCAACCTGCCACATTCCTCCACCACTCATGTGACCTGGACACAGAGCATCCATGACCCTGGTGACCCAGCTCCCCTTCCCACAAAGACATCAGCAATCTCGTAGGC